ATTTATAATTATCTAAATAATATAATAATCTATTATTATTCACTCCTGATATAATCATAATCCAACTTGTGTTTATTTAGGTAGCTGTACCATTTAAAAAGTTTCAGATAATTGTTTGAATATTATAACACACCAAACTAAATATGTAATTTATATGCTTTCAGTTAAAATAGGTAAACAAAGCTAAAGGTACAAATTAAGTTTCACTAATTTCTAAAACACTACAAAGATGTAAGAACATCATTTAACTGTGTATAACACTAATTTAGCAATGCATCTGTCCCATTATGTGTCAAAACTATTTAAAAAAAATAACTATCTGGATACAAATTATATACATGACTATGCACATTGAGCTGTATTTAGATATTCTCAGTTTAAGTATCTCGTTTAAATCTGTGAGGAAAATTTGAAATGTCCACGATTATTCGCAACTTCTGGAACATCCAACTTTGAAATCATCTTGTCCTTCATATAGAAGAAAATGTCCTTTGAAGAATGGCTACTTCCAATAATTGCCTGCACTTTCCATCACAGACACTTGGAACTCATCTACACCTACAGCTACCACCTCTCCAGGAAATCTACGTCCTTCATAGTCCACTATGTACCCGTCTCACACCTCAATGGACTTGTCATTGCCTGGATCACTTAGCGACCCGATGCAATGCACATTATCATCAATATTACCATTGATGCTGTGACTGCTGTTCCTTGTCAGGATGTGTGGCACAACATTGCCATTTACCACCTGCATGAAATACATTTTTGCAATGCCTGTGATGGCTGTAGCCTGGGCAAACACAAGATCTAAGTTCAGATCTTTATTTCTCTCTGATATTTCAATTTAACATCGGTTAACCGGTTAGTAACGTTACAGATTTTTACTGCTGTTATTTTCCATGTGCTACAGTTTTCATGAATCTTAAATGTTCCCTGAGAAACTCAGGATAGTACAGTAGAGGATAATGTAAAATAGGACTGTTCAATTAACACAACTTCCTTCTCTTCCAACAAAAAAGTTGATGTTTTTGTTTTAAAGTAACGTTACAAAATTCCGAAGGGCTTAGCATTTTATAAAAATAAAGTTTGGTTCTAATAGAATCGTGCATTTTGATTTTAAGAGCTGAGAGATATATTCAGTTGAAGAATAAAATTGATTTTGGGAATTCTTTTTCATTTAGTCAGCAAAATAATGACCTCCGCCAAGGGGTTGGCAGTAGGTTAATTATGTTTTCACCGGCATTTGTTGGTTTGTGGGTTTTGTGCGTTTGTTTCTTTGTGTACAGCCTAACTGCAAGTTATGGACGGATTGTCATAGAATTTTCAGGAGAGGTCAGAAATGGGCTAACTTAGAATTGATTAGATTTTGGTGGTGATCCGGATCCAATTAATTAATTAATTTTAATTAATTAAATTTTCAGGATAGGTTAGAAATGGGGTAACTTACAATTGATTACATTTTGGTGGTGATCCGGATCCAATTAATTAATTAATTAATTAAATTTTTCACAGTGAGATAATTGAGCTGCCTTGGCGGAGGTCTGCGCTCTTCGAGTGCTCACGGAAAATTTTGTGTTAAAACATCAACCAAGCAAACTTGGTGTCCATGTACATTTTTATGGAAGACACAACATAATAAAAACTGTTTTTTTTCTTCCTGAAACTGGTCTATATATACAATCATATATGAAAGTAAAATTTACTGGAAATTCATGATTCTAAAATTTAAGGTCATGTCCACTTGATCATGGAATTGCCCATAGAACGTTCTCCATTTATGTACTCCTGGTGATATCATATATAAAATCTAATCACTAAACCAGTGAAAGACTTGCATTTGTCTTGAATTTTATTTTGCATGAGAACTGAAGCAAAATAAAACAAACATCACAATGTATTGCCATTTTAATTTAGTTAAAAGCTCATTCCTATAATATTCATAGCATTTTCAATATGAACGTAATTCTTCCAAGGATATTCCAGATGTTAGATTCGTCAGGCAGTGGCAGTCACTATAGTGTGTCTATATCGTCCGAAGAGGGTTAATTACATTTCTCAGGTGTACAAGTGTTGCAACATATGCGTTTGCTCTTGCAGGTTAAGTACTGCACGCGATTGTGCACTAATCCGGAGGAAGCCACCAAAATTCTTCAGTCTTTTCCAGAAGGGGACATGTTTACAGGTAAATATGGTTTATTAATTTGGGTGCATGCGAGCGTGCAACGTAAAGTAGCATTTTATTTCCTTTGCGTGCAGAACTTTGTTACATCAAAACATTTTGTCAGTTTAAATGTGTTATTGTTGCCTTGCACCACACTGAATACTTGTATAAATTGTGAGCTATAGGCAAAGCACACGACAGTTTTTATAGTTTATGTTTATCAATCTAATAGTTCAGTCAACATTTCTACGAAAAAAGACGTGTCAAATCATGAATATATCATTGGAAAATAACACGAAATGGTCATGCTGGCTTCCACTGGCTGTCGCGGTATAGTGTGTGTGTGCTTGCGTGCGTGCGTGCGTGCGTGCGTGCGTGCGTGCGTGCGTGCGTGCCGTGCGTGCGCGTGTACGTGTATTCCCAAATTGTAATTCTGCAGCTGTTATTAGATGCAGGTAGGTGATGGCACAGGTTCTCTGTTAAGAGATCAAGTTACAACTTACAGGAGGGTTTCACTATAGATGCTGGTAACATAGCGACGTAGCAGTGTTACGTAGGGCTGACGTTTAAATGATTTAGCCCCCCCCCCTCCCGTCCATCGGCATCCCAACTCTGAGCATTGAGGCCAACTCCTGCATCTCCATGACCACAGGCTCGCGTGCTTCGTTGGGCACTTAACACGCCACGATGCATATATATTTTTCATAATACAACCACGCATAGACCAACATCATTTGCGCGATGGGTCTAGTAGTGCCGGCCGGATACACTGCGGTGCGCCGCTATGGCAATTTATTTAACGATTGCTGCGAGCTGAAGCATGCGTGTATGTATGTATGTATGTATGTATGTATGTATGTATGTATGTATGTATGTATGTATGTATGTAGTATGTATGTATGCGCGCGAGAGAGAGCGCTAATGTGCGTTCACGATCACGTTTTTGTGTGCGGCCACCTGTGAAACTATCGAAAAAACTGTGTATGAACTGTAGTGCCGAGTGCTTGCGAGAGGTGAACGAGTGTAAGAAGTGGTAGGGGTAGTAGGAAACGGTAAAACATGATGAGACGTGCTAAGGACGGGCTGACAGTTCGTCCCTTGCAGCATTTCACTTCCCGCCCTGCTGTAAAATGGTAGCGAAAAATCGTGTGAGTTTACGTACGACTCGTCGGAGCCCCTTGCGCAGATATGTCGTAAGATGAAGCCTTTTTCGGCTTCGAACGCATGCACGGACCAGCGCGTGCACGTTGTCATGGCGTGCTCGTTAATATTCTCCCACGTCATCAACAACAGCTGCAGCAGCATCAGCAACAATCAATAACAACAGCAATAATAGTATCTGTAGTAACAGCAGCAACACCACCAGCAGTAACAATGGAAGCAACTGCAGCAGTAAAATCAGTAGTGGTAGTATTAGACTAGTAGTAGTAGTTGGGGTAGCGGTAGTGGTAGCGGTAGCGGTAGCGGTAGCGGTAGCGGTAGCGGTAGCGGTAGCGGTAGCGGTAGCGGTAGCGGTAGCGGTAGCAACAGCTCACGGATGATGAGGTGGGGGAGGTGGAGAAAGAAGAAGTAGTGGGAGGTAGATGAGTAGCAGCAGGAGGAGGAAGGTACCAGCACCACCACCACCAACCACCGGCCACCACCACCAACCACCACCAACCACCAACCAGCAGCACCACCAGCAGCAGCAACCACCACCACCACCAACCACCAGCAGCAGCAGCAGCAGCAGGAGGAGGAGGCGAGGAGATGGCTGGACTCAGTCGCTGCCTCGCGTTCCTGCGTACGCCGCACTGCATCGGCCTGCCACCGCTACGAGTTCATTGGCCCAGATACACACCGGCGTGGCCTGAGCGTGCCCAGCACAGCAGCAGCTCGGCAAGTGCGGGCAACGCAGTAGCAGCCAGCATTGGCAGGCAGCAACGTGCCTGCGCTCTCGCTCAGTGAAACTGGTTCGCCGGGGTATTGACGTGATCGACTCTCTCGCTGAGCCCTAGCCAGTCAGCCAGCAAGCAAGCAACGGCAGCCATGATAGCGCGAACGAACTGTTGTGCGGCGTGGACCCAGTTTTGACCCCGGCGTTCCTCGGAGCGGCTGCGTGCGTGCGTGCGTGCGTGCCCAGGGTTCTTTCGCGGAATCGCGCCTCCCGAATCTTCCTCGTCGCGCTTCCCCTCTCTCATTCCCAGTCGCGTTCGAAAGGATCTTGCGCGAGTGAAGGAGGAATACTGTGCGAGGAATACTGAGCTAGCGCTCCGGAGAGGGAGACTGCATTGATGTATGAGTGTGAGTACATGCCATTGTATACACGCGTTCTGTACACCGATCTAGTTGTCTGCGGCCACGCAGTGTGCGGTAGACAATATTGCAATGCGAGCTGGTAAGGCTGGCGCGGTGGTGGACAGTGGTAGACTGTATTAGTAGTAGAGGTGGTAGTGGTGGTACAGCAGGGTCTCTAAGAGCCGCCGCCGTTACTTTACAGGGTGGTTCCATTAGATGTCATGTCGTAACCGCACTTCGACTGTGTGTGTACGTGCGTGCGTGCGTGTGTGTATTCCGGGTCACGTTATGGTTAGCGGAGGCGCTGTGGCGTTTGTCTGTCTGCCTCTGATGGACATCACGGACGTTCGCCTCGGGTCGTAATTATCTGGACACACTGGCAGTGCGGGTTTTTTTTTCTCTCTTTTAGTTTGTTTCCAGTAGGTTTGTTGTTGTGCGAGAGTGCGCGTTGGGGGTCGGTGTTGCAGCGAGTGTTTGCAGACAACAGCAACTATAGCAACGCTTGCACGTGTCTCGCTTCCTGTTTATCACGTTGATTCGTTTGCGAGCTATCCAAATTGTCGCTACATTCTGGATTGTCATCTAACAAACACACGTATTCTAGTAGGTCCCTGCGTCGTCATCGACTGCTATTATAGAATATATCATTAATTTATTATATGTTATATGTAGAATTATAGAAATACTATTTACAGATCTGTAAATTCTAATGTTGTCAAAGTAATAATGTCCGCCTTGCCTTAATTTTCGACCTCGGTTTGTAGGAAAAAACCTCAAGGATTCTGGTGTGATGCTGGAATGCGACTTCACCAAATTCGGCTTATTACCAAATCGACTTACTCTGATGTTTAGAGGAACACAAATAGAAAGAGCAGCAAGAATATTTCATCGGATGGCTTCATACATATGCGTCTATTTAAAATTATCATCTCAAATAAATCGGAAAAAATTTGTACATGTAGACAAATTAGGTCATGCCAGTTAGCCGGCATGTTATTGATTACTTCAGCATCAAAATTACTACGAATTTGTGCTGTTATATGCTATAAAACAGCAAATTAACAGAAAACGTACACCTGCATTCCTGAGATTCACGAAAATGAAATATGAAAATGCTGCTAAAAAACAAGTGCACGTGTTTACATGATGTAAATTATTCCAGACTAGTCCCCTAGCGCGACACGTCGACAAAGGTATCATAGTGTACAGATCGACATGCAAAACGCCGGTCGATGGCGTCTTGTGAGAGCGAGAATCACGTGATAGTGATGTTTACATATGCAAACAAGTTTACTTCAAAATGCAGATCTATCAATGCGCATATTGGTGAATATTTAATGATGTGCGAGTGTTATAAGACATGTTTGCCTTACTGTATTAAATTGCTGATGTGCAGGGAGTACTGGTAAATATATCAGAACGGCCGGGAAAATAATGGAAACGGTTGGAGAAACGTTAAATTATCGCGTTAAAGGAATTCTCACAATTGCTACTTGTGCTAGGTTTCGCGCCACCCATCGCTGAGAGAGAGTGGCTGTGAAATCCAGGGGCTTCCATATAGTCGATGGTCGTTTTGTTCATATCGCTCCTCGATCTAATTAACTTGTTCGTTTTACCGTATTACATGATAACGGGTCTGGTAAATTTTGCTATCATAGGTTTCATTTATTGTTATTTTTGCCGCGGGAGCTGAGTTTTCCTTGCTTTTATTTTATTTTGGCGAAACCAGCTGATGCATTTCTTCTAAAGTAATACATGCGTCCTACATGGTTTTCCATATTTCTTATCCGATTCTGAGGTTTTCCAAGAAAGCAGGCAACAGTTGTAGGATTTTTTTACGATTACGCGGTCTTTTGTAATTAAGAAAACTAGGTTCATTGCTAATTTAGTTAGTTTGGTTAATGCGTTACTTTGTAGGGTTGTAGTACTAGAGTGGGGGCGTCAGGATGGCCAGTTCTGATTGCTACTAGGTTAGATTGTCATTCAGTGATATCTCGTAATCCATCTTATCTACTTGTCGTAACTATTGAGGGAACAAAATTACTCGAGAAAGCGACATGCATATTTTAAGAACACATTTCTTTTATACTGAGTATTTTTTAGTAGAAAAAAATTAAATGATGCTCTTTTTGTAAACAATACTCCCGGTGTGATATTTAAAGTAAAATGCATAAAAGTAGTGATCGTTCATTGGTTTTTGGGGGATATTCTGTCATCGATACATGATTTAACATGACACACAACACCCGCAGACGCAATTATCAGCCTCAAATCAGAACCCTCACAACAACGAACAACAAGTTCGGTTTATCTTAATTTACTTGCTATCATATATGTAACCCTAATTGGAAGTTTTATCATAATCGTAACGTATATTCTAGCCGATTTAATAAATTCTGTTAGCATGGATTTGGTTTCATTACTATGGTTACTATTGCTATAGCAACTGAGTTGCTTCCAGAGTTTGTATGTTGGCAGCTGTAGGAAAATGCGCTCGAATTATACTGATGAATTTTTAAAACAATTTCTCTACAGTGTGTTTCTCGAAAGCAAGCATCAAGCGCTGTGGTAAAGACACTATTGAGACACTAATGTGTCTGTGTATCTGCGTGTAAACAACTGGTACACTGTTACGGCAGCCTTGAACTTGCAGTCGCTCTTGCCCTTCGGATGTAAAGAGTTGTCATACTATGAAAAGGTACTGCGCAAACGATGTTTGCAAACGTTTTGGAGTTTGACTGTAG